TATTTTCCTTGATTCGAACCAAAATGGCCGAAACTAAGGATATGATTTCACGGCATGTATTTTCCTTGATCCGGACCAAAATGGTCGAAACCAAGGATACGATTTCATGATATGTATTTTCCTTGATCCGAACCAAAATGGCCGAAACTAAGGATATGATTTCATGATATGTATTTTCCTTGATCTAAACCAAGATGGCCGAAACTAAGGACTTGATTTCACGGCATGTATTTTCCTTGATCAGAACCAAAATGGCCGAAACCAAGGATATGATTTCATGAAGTGAGGGAGAAAGAATCCTTGATCCGAACCAAAATGGCCGAGACTAAGGACGAGAATTCATAGATGAGGAGAAATGATTCCTTGATTCGAACCAAACGGCCGAAATTAAGGGTATGAGGGTAGTATCATATCTCACCTTCTTTCTTGGAACCAACCAAGCTTCCTCCCCTTGCTTCCTTTTCTCAAGGTGTGCTTTTTTTGTGTTGTATGATGTGTAGTAGAATATTGCTACTAGAGAGAGGAGGGAAGGAGACCAGAGAACCTGGGAGTAAAATGAGTCCAACCCCAAATCAATGAGCAGGGGGGTATTTATAGAAGGAGGAGTGGAGCGCTGAGGCTCGATGCCTGCGTGTTCACGTCCACCCATCGTGGGAACGGGGGATGATGGGAGCGTGGGTTGCTTTTTTTATTTTTTAATCGCTAATTGACCGGCAACGTCGCTAACCCATTTACTTTTTTTTGAGCATACGCTAACCCATTTACTTATGTGCGTGATTGGCCGATGGATGTGGCTACACATGCATGTACATGTACGTAGATATTTTCAAAATGGGCTTAGACTATTTTAAATCATTGTGTGGGCCTTATAGCACTATTCGCATGCATGCACAGCAGCCTTGTGAGAAGCATGTCCATGCATACGTGACCATATTTCTTTTTTTGACGAAGCACGATTAGCTATTAAATAGCTCATTAAGGCCTGGAGTCAGGGTGTGCACGTCAATATTTTTTTTGCATACAACTCAAGGTCTAGCGTCATATGGATTATCACATGATTATTTGATCAGATGAATATTTGACCAAGTATATTGCGCGTATATTTCATTAGCGCAATTTTTTTACATCGTTTCAATATTTTAGTTTGTCGATGGAAAAGAACCGAACATTTCCATATAGCCAACATTTGCCGATCTCAGCGTTCCTCATGGCAATTTTATGTTTGTATTTTCGCCGTTAGTGGTGGCGGCATGTGTGCGAGTCATGTGTTCTTTATATTTTTTCCTCATGACAAAATTTGACGAGTTTCGTCGTATTTCCCAATCGTCGGTTTAATATGTGCGTTACCGACATTCGTAAATATATCATATCCTATTTTGTCGGTCCTCATTTTGAGCGGTCAATTATATATTTTAAAATTGATTCTTTTCATTATAAAATGGATTTTCCCGTTTTGCATCTATATTTTATGCACTTTATAAATTTATTTTATCTTGGTCAAAATCCATGTCAGCAGATGCCCCTCGAGGTCTGGGCTTGAGGAAAGAGATTTTTTTTTACTCGAGCCGAGAGCTCGAAACTTGATTATACATATTTCGTGTTTATAGCACTTTTTGTGTGTATATGTGCTCATGCTCCTTTAGAAACGTTGACCTTTAGTCAAGTGCATGCCAGTTATACGTGGTTGTACATCTTTCTTTTATTTGCACACGTTGCTGACCGATTTTGCAGCCATGCAAGCTAGAAGTCAGGCCACGCTTGAGGTTAGCTGGCTAACAAACTCTATCTGGCTAACAAACCCCGTCCATTATCTCCTCCACTATCTTCTCAACCCTCTTTTAAACAACCAGCCTCCTTTTCTTTTCTTAGACCAGATTGAAGACGTCGGAGACAACTGATAGAAGACGTCGGAGACTAGGTATGCTTCAGTCCGGCCGGCCGCAATTCTTTGATAGGCTAGCAAATTATATATGACTTCGCTAGTACCTAAATTGATTCATTGACTAATTACTCTGCTATCTCATCAGTCCCAGATTGCTTTCAATCCCTCACAAGATGCACCTCCGCGTGGGAAAGTACTGATTCGTCCAGCTTGGGTATGCCCCTTCCGTCCTTTCATTATTAGGCCACGCTTTACCTCCTAATGTCTTGGGTGTCCCTTTAGTTTATAACCCATCTTTTCATCTCGTAGGTGCAGGAAGACAAGGACACCAGGTCATGGCCCGGATCAAATCTTACTTAGGTAATCAACTTTTCCAAATCATCTGATTATATTCGTTCGTTGTTTCATCTCTCTCATTATCTACACGTATCAGGGATATGATGCCCTGAGCGCATACAACTTTTTTTGTCATGGTGTATATAGCTCTGGTCTCTGGATGTGTTTGATCTGTAATTATTCATCCAAATATCATGATCCCACGGTCGGCGTTCCGGGAAGTCTCTATATGGGCTTGGTCCGTCGCTCGACTCGGGGATTTTTTTTTTATGAATTAGTAGATTGCTCACTGCTGCCACTCCGGGAAGCCTATATATGGACTTAGTCTGTCATTCAACCATGAGAAGTTTTCTTTTTTATTGTATATGCATGAGTCAATAAGTTGATCACTGTCAGCGTTCCAGCAAGCCTATACATGGGCTTGGTCCGTCGTTCGACAGTGATTTTTCTTAAATAATATATGCGTGACTTTAATGACTTGATCGCTGTCGGCGTTTTGGCAAGCTTATATATGGGCTTGGTCCGTCGTTCGACAGTGATTTTTTCTTAATGATATATGCGTGACTTTAATGACTTGATCACTGTCGGCGTTCCGGCAAGCTTATATATGGGCTTGGTCCGTCGTTCGACAGTGATTTTTTAATGATATATATGAATCAATGACTTGATCATCGTCGGCGTTCCGGGAGGCCAATATATGGGCTTCGTCCGTGCGTTCGGCGATGAGCTACTGTTCTCATGCGTGAGGACTATTTTTAATCATGTATACCTCTCTTCTCACATCCCATGTATTTTCATTCTGTATATGCCAACTTTTGATATCGTTGATTTTTTTTTGTAGATACTACTTCTCTCATCCTTGTTGTGGGCTGGCTGCTTGGGCACGTCCACCTTGGTAAGTTTTTTTTTGTATTTTTTTTTGTTTTATCTTTTGATAATGTTTGGTGCATATACTAATATGCATATTTTCCTTGCATATAGATGGAGCCGGATGAAGTGCATAGGATGTCTCTATTGCAGCTAGCTAAGAAGCAACTTTTTGAACCAGATACTAATCTGCTGTACAATCCTGTGATAAGGGAACAACAGACACCCCAAGGAAATCCTGAATATTCTAGGCGAGGGTGGACATCAGGCCGCTCTTTCATGGCTCAATGCTATTATCCTGCCGCTCCTCATCCTAGAGTCGATACAGCTGTCACCCTGGGGACTCACATGATATCCAAAGGATTAGGCTGGGAATTCCACGAGGTTGAATATTCAGTAGCTCCCCCTGGGTACGTTGAATGGGGAACTAATGTTTTGAAGAATTATTCCATGCATTTGAAAGGTAGTGAAGAGAACACAGACTATATCTATGGAGCCATTTATTGCTCTTTGGGTGAGTACTCTGTATCTCCCCCGCTTCCGAGGGCTTTGTTAGAGCACTGGGATCCCAACACTAACACGTTCTTATTCCCCTGTGGTGAACGCACAATCACTCTTCTTGATATGAACCAAATGGCTGGGCTACCCTTAGATGGTGATCTGTATGATGAATTTATATCCCCTACTCATGAACTGGATCCTTCTTTGTTGTTGTACCCCAACTTTTTGCCACAACTCCTTGACATATGGAACAAACACTCCGAAAGCGGCAATGTAGGCTTTCAGGAATGGTGCGATTACTTCCACAATCGTCTAAACGACACATTCTTTATCAATAGTCTCCAAGACGAGCGCCTCTATACTGCAGCCTATATTGCTATTTGGCTCTGTCGCTTTGTTGTTCCAGGTGGAGGGCCATATATTCATCCCGGGGTATTAGTGATGGCCTCTTGGATCACAATAGGGCGTCGCATATCCTTAGCTCCGCCGGCCCTTTGCTCCTTATACTATTCGCTTTGGCTGATCCACTCATCCCATTGGTCCCTTCTTTTTGAAAAGGGCATGTTAAGTCCACTATCTGATCGATGGATGGGTATATACTTAAGGAAGGCTTTTGGGAATAAATCTAGCACAAAATCACTCCCATTCTATAAACATCCAGCTCCAAAACCAAAAATGTGGAACACTATGTCTAGAACTCCACTTTTCCATGATCATGACTCAGCACACAAACTTCTCAGACAGCACACCCAGATCTCATGGCACCCCTACAGTTTGTCTAAATTAGAAAATGTAGGTTATCTGAGTCGGGTTTTCCAAATTTCCATACGTCGGGGTATGCTTCCATGGAGGCGTGTTGAAGAATTTATAGCAGAACCTTATCATCCTGACAGAGTAGCAAGACAATTTAGGCTTGACCAAGTGGTGCCTTTTCCTCCCTTCACCAGTCTGTATACAAGACATGATATCGGTATTGCATATGCCTTTTGGCTTCATTTATTGCGGGATGAGGAGGATCCACGCCCCATTCCAGATGATTCTCGCGTCGGTGACTCATCTGTGGCGTGGGCAAATTGGCTACATGAATTTCTGAAGCCATTCGCTAATGTATTTGACCAACTTCGCAATGGTAATTTGAATGGGAAGGTCCCTTATAATGAAAGGAGAAAAAATAGGTCCGCACTGCAACGCCATATTAGAGTTCGTCCATTGTCTGATGAGAATTTTAAGGTAGTAAGAAGGGTGGCTGATGATCACCGGGACCAGCATATTGGTGTTACTGAACAGGAGGAAGCACGTGTCAAAGATCACTGGATGCCAATCCTCCATAGCTACTTACAGGATGTTGCTGCTACTCAACCCATGAAATCCAAAGAGGTGAACTAATGATCCGTGTAAAATTTATCTATTTCTTAATTGTACTAACCAGTACTAATAATATTATCCTTTTATATATGTGGCCGCAGCAAAGTGGTGTACCAAAGTCTGTTGTTGCAGCTGGTTCTTCCTCGGCTCATCCAGTGCTAGTGGGTAGTGATGATCCTCCAGAAACTGCCCCGGCCACCAGCGGACAGAAGCGTAGAAATTTATCGCCCCCTCATGCTGACGAGGAAGCGAGGCTCCCCCTCAAGCGCAAACTTGACTTATCCCATGAATGTGATTTTTTTGAACCAATAACATTGGACGGTCCGTCATTAGATGTTGAACTCAATAACTTGGTTAATGATGAAGATTTTGGTCACGTTCTCATGGGAGAAAAGGTCCATGGCCTTGGTGACCTCTTCGATTTATCCGTCGAGGATTATACCATTGGCGAGTGTGGCGCAAGTCGTCCACCTTCCAGCCCGGGTGTGACTGAAGCTGTGCCCCATACCCCTAATGCTCTTGATTTCTTGTCAACTTTTCCTAGTAGTTTATTTACCTATGCATTTATTTAATTGACCGTGTCTATGAAACATCATTATCATCAAATTTTCACGACTCTTCACTTTTTTAGGTTGCGAACAAGAAAGTTACCATTCGCAAGACCCTGTAATGACGGTTGCTTTCAGGGTCAAGTCCTCAAAATTGATTGGTCACACCCCTTGTTAGTGTCGACCACACTTGGTAGGAGACTATCCATGGACATCCGTATTGTGCCAACCTCTATGAATTGTTCTTCACACTGAGGCTTATAGTTCTCCACCTAATAATAACTTAGAAAGCAATTCTGTTCAGCTTTTTCTTTGTATAGGTGTCACGCCCAATATGCGATACTATCCTAAAGAGACTCAAAGGTCCCACCAAGGATAGAACCGCATACTGATACGCTTTTGCAAGGTGGATATCATTACATCAACATTACATAAAAGATAGGGATATATATATAAGGCATACAATGCCACACGAATACAACAATGCATCATACATAAGAGCAACATGCGACTATGGATGGAACACAAACAGAAACTCAAACGACATCCACCCTGCTAGCCCAGGCTGCCGACCTGGAACCTATCCCCTGATCGAAGAAGAAGCAGAAGAAGAACTCCAAAACAGCAAACATCTCTCTCGCGTCATGATCATCGCATAACCTGTACCAGCAACTATTGTTTTAGTAATCTGTGAGCCACGAGGACTCAGCAATCCCATTACCATGGGTATTAAGACTAGCAAAACTTAAAGGGTAAGGAAGGGGTAAAGTGGTGAGGTTGCGCAGCGACTAAGCATGATATGGTGGCTAACATACGCAAATGAGAGCGAGAAGAGAAGCAAATGGAACAGTCATGAAGCTAGCAATGATCAAGAAGTGATCCTGAACTCCTACTTACGTCAAACATAATCCAAAACCGTGTTCACTTCCCGGACTCCGTCAAAAAGAGACCATCATGTCTACACACATGGTTGATGCGTTTTAATTCGTATCTGGTGTCAAGTTATCTACAACCAGACATTAACAAATTCCCATCTGCCACATAACCACGGGCACGGCTCACGAAAGTTTATACCCTGCAGGGGTGTCCCAACTTAGCCCATGATAAGCTCTCGCGATCAACGAAGGATATTCCTTCTCCCCGGAAGACCCGATCAGTCTCGGAATCCCAGTTTACAAGACATTTCGACAATGGTAAAACAAGACCAGCAAGACCGCCCGATGTGTCGACAATCCTGATAGGAGTCGCACGTATCTCGTTCTCAGGACACACCAGATAAGCTAAGCGTACAGGTACCGACGTAACCCAAGTTGCCAAGGGATGGTACCGCACGGTGCTCTAGTTTGGACCAACACTTAGACAAGCATTGGCCCGGGGGGGCTAAAATAAAGATGACCCTCGGGGTGCGCGACTCCCAAGGGAAAAAGGCTAGGTGAGGCAAATGGTAAAACCAAGGTTGGGCCTTGCTGGAGGAGTTTATTCAAAGCAAACTGTCAAGGGGGTCCCATATAACACCTAACCGCGTAAGGGACGCAAAATCCGGGAACATAACACCGGTATGACGGAAACTAGGACAGCAAGAGTGGAACAAAACACCAGGCATAAGGCCGAGCCTTCCACCCTTTACCAAGTATATAGATGCATTAATTAAATAAGAGATATTGTGATATCCCAACATAATCCTGTCCACCATGGAGCAATCTTCAACTTCACCTGCAACTAACAACGCTATAAGAGGGGCTGAGCAAGGCGGTAACATAGCCAAACAACGGTTTGATGGGAAGGGTGAAAAGGTTAGAGGCTGACATGGCAAATTGGGCGGCTCGAAGAGCAAGTGATAGGTAGCGCAGCAAAGCGATAGAACGAAGCAACTAGCATAACAATGATAGTAGTGAGATCCAAGGTGACGGTCATCTTGCCTGAAATCCCGCAAGGAAGAAGAACGAGTCCATGAAGAAGATGTAGCCACGAAGACGAACCAAGCGTAGATGAACGAATCCTCACGATCACAACGAAACGGGAACTATCAAAGAGAAGCACATAACATGGTAAACACACCACACATAGACAAGACATGATGCACAACCAAGCATGATGCATGACAAATCTAGATGAGGCTACTCATGGCAAGAGATGATGCAAACAAGAACAACACATCAAGGCAAGTTTAAATGAGGCCGGAAACAATATATAACAATTCCGGTAAGTCCTCATATGCAAGTTTAGAAATTAGTCCAGAACTGAATAAACCTTATGTTCAAATGGTTAAACAGAAAGTTAAGATGCACTAAGATGATCTACATGAAATTCTAGTCAAGTTACATATAAAGTTCATTTAAATCGGAGCTACGGTCTAGAAGATATGAGCAAAACAAGTTAAACATGGCATTGATGCAAAATGCATACAAACATCAATAAAACACTCTCAAAACATGGATGCAACATGATAATATGAAACTTCATGCAAAATCAAGCAAGTTTCATATAGAGCACACTCAAAACGGAGCAACGGTTCAACACATACACTCTATACAAGTTACAACAACAATCTGCCCAAAACAGCAACTAGGCATCAAGCAAGCATCAAAACAATATGCTACAACACCTCAACATAATAACAAAAGGCATGGACATGAAGTGCAGGTAAAGCATGACAAAACATGAACACTGAGCTATCTCCAGAAAACAGTAGAACATGCTCAAAAGGTCATTGCAAGATTGCAAATAATAACAGTTTCAGACTTAGCAGAAATAACATCAGGTTGCAATGTTTAGAGCTATCAAACAACATGTTACAAGAACTTAACAAGGAAAACAAAGGCATGGCATGCTAGTACTATAGAAAAAGAACATAACTCTCTTACTGAACTAATTCTAAAGATCAACAGAAAAGATGGAATCATCCATACAAACATGGCAAATGATATGACAGATTCATACATGGCAGGAACAACAATAAGTAGGAATGTTAGTGAGCTTGTACCACTCACCACAGAGCAATATATGGCATGGAAATGTGACCAACAGTAATAAGACATGTTTGTGAAGCTAAGCATGGCAAGACCAAGTTCATAAGGTGCATGGACCACTAGCAAAGCACATGGCAAAACTGAACTTAATGTTAACAGGCTGACAGCAACATTATTTAGCAATTTGAGAGTAAGCTTACAACATGCTACATTAGGCTATAAATGCAACCAAGGGCATGAATGCATAGGGCATGACATGTATAACAAAACATCCTTAGTGAACATCTCCAGATTATGCATAGAATGACTTCTAGCAGCAGGTTTACATAGCATCATGAAATAGCAGATTCAGACTAGCAAAACAGTAACAACAAGTAACCTACTTCACGAGCTCGATGCACTCACTACAAGACACACAAAAATACATGGATTGCATCCCTGTAAAGATGGCATGATGTAGCACAAAACATGTGTATAGCTCATGCTCATAGGATGCACACACAAAATGCAATGAAAAAGACAAAACAGCAAGTTCTGTAAACAGACATCAGTTAACATCATATAGCACTCTTGCAATGATGATTAGGGCATCAAGATGAAATCAAATGAACATGACACAATGGAACGTAATGAAGAGCACATTCAGGTGAACACCTTTATCTATTGCACGCACAAAACGGAGCTACAAACATGGAGTTATGGCATGATGAACGGGGCATAAAAATGTAAATATCTTCGGGACTTAGCAGAATTTCACCACCTCGAGCGGAAAAGTCAATGGCGATGCGGTTCACGAGGATGGCCGGCTCGCCGGAGAAGGATGCCGGAGAAGGCAGGGGCGGCGCCGGCAAGGCAGATCCAGGGCGGATCCGGCCGGATCTCGCCGGATCCGGGTGCGGACTCCGAGGGGCGGCGCCGGGCGGCGAGCGGCGTTGGGGCGCGGCCTCGAGGTCGCCGGCGATGATGGCGAGGCGGCGGAGCGGCGAAGGATGAAGGGAGCTGTCGTGGTCGGCGACGGGGAAGGTCGGGGCGACGACGACGCGACGGAGGGGCGCTCGGGTGGCGGGGCGGCGACCAGTGGCGGGGGCCCTCGGGCGGCGCCGGCGAGGAAGAACGGCGGCGGGGCGGCAACCGGCGGCG